AAAAATACTGAACCCAACCGTGTTTTCCCAAAAAAGTCGAGGGAAGACCTAATGGCAAACCCAACTTAAAAGGAAATGTATGCACTCCGGGAGATAAGACTAAGATTCTGCCGCTATTTACAGTCGAGCCGTTGAAAACACTTCCACTTTCTGTAAAACAATAAACAATATGTTCTCATTAGTAAAGGTGTGATTCATATTTAGTCATTCAAATTAATTTTAATTTTGTTATTGTAATCAACATTAGCTAATAGTAAGGGTGTTATCATTTTGGCAGAAATATATACACATTAAAAATAATTTAAAGCAAATGTGAAATGTGTTGGAAGTTCTGTCTGACGCCCACTGGAATCGTCCCAAACAAAGCCTTCAAATAATGTTTTTACTGTTATATACCTTAATCATAATAAAGCATTAAATTGTGATTTGATCAATGAGGACATTAGCAATACTGTCAAATTTGTTTTCGTATGTTTTCATACTTACATTTAAAGTAATGTATCATTTGGTCTCATTATAAACACTAGAGTAATGTAAAGTGACCATGACAATATTGTATATTATTAAGGTTAGTTTTGAAAATATATCTTTAATGCAAATTGTAATCTTATCAAGGGATAAATATAAGGAACATATTTCATAACTTTCCATCGCAATAAGCCTACAGATTACCTATGTAAATTATGTTAGTTAATTAGTCCATATACAATAAGCCATGGAATTGTAAATTAAGTCTAAATGTCGATCGATAATCGATAATAACTTGCATCAATTTACAAAATAATTGCATTACAATACTATTTGTATAGAAATAGATTCAAATATTGTTCAATACATACCACTCTTAGCGGAACTGTCGCCCAAAAGCCTCATACGAAAGTCAATATAATTTTCTTTGTCGGTTGAGTCCACCCTTCCTTTATTGGTTAGTCTGACGACTCCTTCACCGACGATATGAAAGTAAAGACCTGTCCATCCATTCAATAGATATACAAAATATAATTAAATGAATATATGAATGGATGCAGAGAAATGTGATACAAACCGATGGCAGGGGTGTCTTCTTCGAGTTCGAGTAACACCTTTCCAGTCAAGAAAGCTCCGGGAAAGTAGAGGAGAGACTCGTCGTCCAACACTATTAGGAATCTCTTCAACTTCTTCGCCATTTTATAGCTCTCGGAGTTCTTCTAAACCGTGAATATAATGTCCAAACAAATGATACTTTCGTTTCAAACAATTTTTTATACAATTAAACTCTTCGCTCAGATTTGGCTCAAGAATATCGTACGAAATGATTATTTGGAAGTATTTATGATATGAAAGTGAGTGAAGAAGAGGACAAAAGAATAAAACAGTGGTTAAGAAGTGGCAAAGAAGTGGTAAAAAGTAATGGCAAATGAAAGCATCTGCTCTTCACTCCTACTCATTGA